GTCACATAGCCCAAATATACCAGTAGTAGAACTGAATCCCAGGTTTTCCTGAGTTTGAGACCAGTTTTCTATCCACTAGAGCTGGTAATAGGCCCTGGACTCTATTTTTGTTAGTCCTCATCTAGATGAGTTTGGTTGAGTTATGAGCACCATGGTGTAAGGATGCTGCTTGGTTGCAGAATGTCCAGAAAGGCAAAACCAGGATAGTGAGGGGCCATGGTTCCATGATATTTGAGGATGGACTGAAGGAAGTGGGACTGATTAACCTGGAGACGTAAAGACCCAGGAGGGGACCTGGCAGCTTCAAGGGGGATTAGCCTTCTTCTCCTCGGTCCCAAAGGGTAGAACCAGGAAGTGGGTGGTTATTGATATTTTTCATATACATACATATATATATATATATACATACACACACATATAATATATATACATATACAATATATACGTTATATATACATATATATGTATATATAAAATGAGGGGCAACTAGGTAGCACAGTGGATAGAGCACCAAGCCAGCAGTCAGGAAGATCTGAGTTCTGATCCAGTCTCAGACACTTAGTAGCTGTGTGACCCTGGGCAAGTCACTTAATTCTGCTTGCCTCAGTTTCCTCGTCTCTAAAATGAGCTGGAGAAGGAAATGACAAACTATACCAGTATCTTTGCCAGGAAAACCTCAAAAGATGTCAGGAGTCAGGCATGACTGAACAACAAATGTAACAATGAGAGCTGTCCAAGGTGGAAGATGCTGCCTCTGGAGGTGGGAGGCTCCTGGTTCTTGTGGGATTTCTTTGGTGTCTGGGTTGGACCAGATTGCTGAGGTCTCTTCCAACAATATATTCTGTGACCTGTCACAAAAAATGAGGAAACTGAGTCCCTGAGAAGGTAACAGACTTGCCCAGGGTGACATAGGGAGTAAGAAGTTGAGCCAGGATTGGAACCCAAGTTCTCTTACTCCAAATCCAATGCTCTTTCCTTTGGATCAACTGGCCAAGACACCCCCTCCTATGGTCAGACCCAGGCTGCATCATTCAATTCACAGAATCAGAGAATTTGAGTTTGAAAGGACCCCTAGCCTAACTTATGCCTGACAGAGGAAGCTAAGAAAAGCAGTGGATAGGGTGCTGGGCCTAGAGTCAGAGAGACTGGAGTTTAAAACTGGCCTCAGACACTTACCAACTGTGTGACCCTGGGCATGTCACTTAACCTCCATTTGCCTCAGCTTCCCCATCTGTAAAATGGGGAAATAATAGCACCTACTTCCCAGGGTTGTTGTGAGGACCAAATGAGATAGTATTTGAAAATGGCTGGCACATAGTAGGCTCTTTATAAATGCTAGCTATTATTACTATTGTAGAGGCAATGCTTAGCACAGTGCCTGAAACATAGTAGCGGCCACTTATCATCATCATCATTAATTATTATTAATTATTAAAAAGAATACCTACTAAGACATACCTAATAAGCATTTATGCAGGCAGGCGTATGGGGATTAAAAGTGTCCAGCCTCCAGTAGAAGAGACTGAGGCAGAGCTCCGAGTTAATGGCACTTTATTAAAGGGTCCACAGTCCCCTCTGATGAAGTGGACCTCAGACCTTCCTCATGATTTGAAATGCCCCATTCTTCTAGGACTTCCAGGTTTTCAGAGAGTTTCCAAATATGCAAAAGAGGCACGGTGAAATACAGAATCTCATTGGTTGATAGACCTGGCTCTTGAGGGCCAAAGATGACACATTAGTGAGGGGGAAGGGGGACCGTGACAGTCACAAGTTGGGTGAAGCCTGGGGCATCTCTACTGACTAAGTGGTCATAAGATGGTCACTTACTTGTGTTAGAAAAGAAAGAATGGTCCAGAGGTATGAAAATAAATTGGAGGACTTCCCAAGGCATCCCACCCATTCTGGGTTTGGACATGGAATTTGAGTAAAACAAGATGGAGATATCTTTGTCAGCATTCTTATGGCTGCACAAGTGAGCCTTATAACTTGGTAGACAAGTAGTGAGTATTACATTAAAGTTTGAGGCCCACTATAAGAACCTATCTATCCCTATATGATTAATGTAGAATATCAAACTAATTAATCCTTACTGGGATAGAGTAGGGACCCAAATGAATTACTTCTCACATTAATCCCAAATTCAATGTGTCCAAAACAGAAAGCATTATCTTTCCCCTCAACTAAGCCTTCTTCCAAATTCCCCTGTTTCTATTGAGGACACCACCATATTTCCTGGCAGCCAATTTCCCAAACCTCAGGGTCATCCTTATCATTCACCCCACACATGTGACCATTGGCCAAACCTTAACTATTCCAACTACAGCCGACCTCAAACTTCTGTCCCTTTCTCTTGACTCAGGTAGCCTCCACCCTGGCTTCTGCCTCTCTCACCTCTGACCTGGATAATCAGAACAGCCTCGTCATTGCTCTCTGTACTTTGCACCTCACTTCACACCCTTCCAACAGCTGCCTAAAGGGTAGATCTGACCACATCATCACTCTATTCAATTAATTGCAATGGCTCTCCTCACTTCTAGGGTTAAGTGTTTGGCATTTAAAATCCATCACAATTAACCCTGACCTACTTTCAGCCTTATTAAACATTACTTCCTTTCATGACACTAGAGTTCAACCAAATTGGCCTCCATATGTGATGTTGATCTCCCCTCACTATGTCTTTGCACCAACTTATTTGGAAAAATACTCATTTCTCACCTTTACTTTTTAAAATCTTTAGTTTTCTTTAAAGATCAGTTTAATAACAATAAAAATAATAATAGCTAGTATTTATACAACACTTTAAAGTGTGCAAAGTGCTGTACGGATATTTTATCCTCACAACAGTTTTGGGAGGTATTATTCTCTCTATTTTTCAGATTAGGAAACTGAAGTAAACAGAGGTTCAGTGATTTGCTCAGGGTCACACAGCTAGCAGATGTTTGAAGATGGATTTGAACTCAGGTCTTTCTGACTTTGGCACCTACCACCTTCCTACATGAAGCCTTTCCTGATTCCCCCAGTGGCTAGCGCCCTTCTCCAAATTACCTTGTATCTATTTTCTATACCTATACTGTATACGTACATGTTATCTCTCCCACAAGAATGTAAGTCTGATTTTAGAGGTGTCTCTTTAAAAGGTAACATCTAGTTACTTTCTTTCATATATGGTTTATTCCCCTTTAAGGAATCCAACTGATGACATTTCACATGGGAGTGTAAGGTGATGATGGTTGAGCTTAGGGCTTTGGCTTTTAGGTATGGGAGTCCTCCCAGAGGGAACCCTAAGCTTTCTGGCTGCCTGACAGGTCAAATAAAGTCTAAGTGAACTGTTAGTAGCTTCCCTTCCAAGGTTACTTTTATTGGCTTTGCATAAACATACCTACATATATGTACAACAGCTCACAGCTCAAGAGACAGAAGGGACCTTAGAAGGAAACTCAGACTATCTCCTTTTACAGATCAGGAAGTGAAGGCACAGAGTTCAGGTGACTTGCCCAGGGTCACACAGCTAGTAAGCATTTTGAGGCAGGATTTGAACCTAGCTCTTCAGACTCTAGGTCCATTTCCTAATCTACAACACTGGAGGTATCAGACTTGGCCAGTGTTTCCGAACCAGATTAAAATGTAATTGGGAAATGTTTAACAAAACAAATAAAAATACAACACAACACAGATAATGCTCATTTGTGGTTTTCTAAGCCAATATTTGACCAGTAGGGATCCCTTTTCTGTTTGACTTGGACACCAGTGGACTGCAACCTACTGTCTCTCCTGTTGTTTCTCTGTTAAGGTAAGGTCCTCCAGAGTAGGTCTTAATATGAATTTTTCTTTGTGTATCAAGAGCTTAACTCATTGTCTGATACACAGTAGGCACTTAATAATTGCCAGTCTCTCAGAATTAAAGTGCTTGAGCCTGGTGGGGAGGGGACAGCATCATAGAACTCTAATCTAGAGTTGGAATGGAATCCACTCCTTTTTACAAATATGTAAACTAAGACCCAGGGAGGTCTAATACGACTTGTTCAATCAGGAAATTAATCCACAAACATTAAGGACTACGCTAAGACCAGGGATACAAAGGAAGACAAAAATCAGTGGCTGACCTCACAGGAGCTTACAGTCTGAGGGGGAAGACAATATGCAAACAAACTGTATATCCAGGCCAAACTGGAGACGTGCTAAGCGAGAAGGCTCTCTGATTCAAGGAGGAATGGGAAGAGCTTCCTGCAGAAGGGGGGTCTGGTTTCAAACCCCGGCTCTGACACTTGCCACCTGAGTGGACCAGGCAAGTCCTAATACCTCTTCAGTTTCCTTATCTATAAAGCGAGGATTTGCACCTAGCAGGTGCTTGCTAAATGCTTGTTAATGGATGGAGAGGATTAGACTCGGCGGCCTCCAAGACCCCTCCCGAGGAGGAGAAGGAGGAGGAGGAAGAGGAAGAGGAGGAGGAGAAGGAATGGTAGAACAGTGCGTTTGTGCACGTAGGAGGAGGGATGCAGAAGGGAGAGCGAGTGTGCTCCAATCATAAACTTCCTTTCCTAGCCTCCCTTCTCCGGGGTTAGCTTCCCATCAGAGATTGGTCCAGAGGCTCCCCCTTTCCCGTCTCTCTGCAAATGAACGGTTGCACCTTGGCCAAAGAGAGGAGGGGGAGCCTGACCTTAGCCCGCGACGGATCGGGTGGAAGCCCCGCCTGGGGCGCCCAGGTGCCCCCATCCCGAGGACAGCGCCTGGTCTCCGGCCTTCCCGGGCTGGAGAGGCGGGGGCGGAGCCGGCCGCTGAGCTGGAGCGCGTCCGTCCCCGCCCCCTCCTCTTCCCTCCTCCCCTCTGCTCCCGCTCGCCCGCCCCTCCCCTCGCTCCAACCCTCCCGGCCCGCCCAGGAGCGCGCGCCTCCCAGCGGAGGTGCCTTTGCCTCCCCTCCTATGCTAGACTTTCAGCAGCGGCGGTCTCCGTAGCAGCAGCAGCAGCAGCAGCAGCAGCAGCAGCAGCAGCAGCTGCATTAGCAATAGCAATAGCAGCAGCAGCAGCAGCTCCAGCGGCGGCGGCGGCGGCGGCGGCGGCGGCAGCCCCAGCCATGGCGGAAGTTCATAGACGTCAGCATGCTCGGGTTAAAGGAGAAGCCCCCGCTAGATCCTCCACTGCCAGAGATGAGGAGGAGCTGGGGATGGCGTCGGCCGAAACGCTGACCTTGTTCCTGAAGCTGCTGGCTGCCGGCTTTTACGGCGTGAGCTCCTTTCTCATCGTCGTGGTGAACAAGAGCGTGCTCACCAGCTACAGGTAGCCAGCAGCCGGGCGGAGGCTGCCTGGAGCGGCGGGGCGGGCAGCGGGGCAGCGGGGCGGCGGGCGGGGACCCGTGGACTTTGCGCCGCCGCTGCCAAAGTTGAAGATTAACAAAGTTCGGCCGGAGCCAGGGAAGGGGATTGTGCCTTAACTCGTGCGCTGCCTGGACGCCGCCTCCGCAGCAGCCTGCGGCCGCCCATCCCTCCTCTACTGCGGCGGCGGCGGAGGCAGCCTGTCTGCCATGGCATCCCCGAGTTGTGCTTGCTGGTGCCCGTCTGGGCACGGGGGAACCCTGACTCCCCTCGGCTGCTGCTCTGCAAATGTCACCTCATCCCCCGGGCCTGAGTTTCTTTAAGGGAGGTGGAATGGGGACGAAGGATGGGGAGGAGAAGAAGGGGTGAAATTTTAAATTGCCACGGTTTGGGAAATCACCCTCGCGTTGCTTCCTCTGCAGAACCCCTTAAACGGGAAACTGATCAATGGCAGTGAAAATGATCAATGGCGGTGAGAGTGATCAGTTACTACCGGGCAAACTTGCTACTGAACGTTCTATCTTTGCCTGGCTGATTGAAATAGACACTGAAGTGCACAGCAACCCGGCCATTCTCTTTCTCGAGCTCGTCTTTGCATTCACGAGGTGCAAACACTATGTGACCGTGGTTGCATTAGTAGATTAATTTTCCAGGGATGTTAATTTTGTTTCCTAGTACTCAGGCGGGTGTGTTTATTGAGGCTGGGAAAGCGCTAAGCCAGTAGTGGTATATCTTAACTTCCTGAGGGCACCAACAGACGTTGCAACCACACAAGCCCAGGCAGGTTGCCACCCAAAGCTACCAAGTCCGGGTGGTTGCTTTGCCCCTTGGCCCAGGCAAGTTTTTCAGCAGGAAATTCAGTTTGTCCTTAGCTGAAGGGCAAAACTTCTCCTTTGGCTTATTGTGATCCCGGGTCTCTGTTGTAATTCTAATGCTCCCAAATGGTGCTGTTTAACTTGTTGACCTTGTGTGGTTTTTTTTCTTCTCTTCCCTACCATCTGCATAGATTTCCTTCCTCACTATGTGTTGGACTTGGCCAGGTTAGTTGGAATCTTAAGAATTAAGTGGTTTGTAGTGTTTCAAATCATGTATAGGTCTTTCTCGTTGAACAGTCAATGTTTGTTCTTTGCACAGATGCTGGCGACAGTGATCGTCCTCTGGGTGGGAAAGGCGCTCAGGGTAGTAAAGTTTCCTGACTTTGACAGAAATATACCTCGGAAGGTAATGAAAGAACTAAATGAATGAGGAGTACTCTTGATCTTACTGGAAGAACCATTGTTCCTATCTGTTCTTTACATATTGAAAACAGTCAGCTTTGAACATATCTTAATTTAAAGTCGGTTTTAATCAAGGTGAAGAATTTATTTAATAGCATTTCAAAAAGGAATCAAGCTTTTTTTAATGAAGAAAAAAGAAAATGGGAACTTTTGGTTCTGTTTTTAATTAATTCCTTCCCTTTATCAGGGAGGGCAATGAGTTTTTAAGTTCCTCTAGCTAGCTTATCAGATGTTTTATGCCTTCATTGTAGCCTCAATGTTCTGAATTCTGCCCTTTTCTCTGTTTCCTCGTGAAGGTGGGCTAGCATCCCATCTTCTCTTGATATATAAGCACAAATTGTATTTTAAGCAAGTGATGAGGTTGAGAGTTTTTGTATATTTTACCATTTTGCAGTTCTCCACTTTTTCTTGGGGTTAACACAGAGCAGGGGGAGGGGGCTTGGTACTGATTTAGTGGCTGGGTGTGGGAAGAGGCTGGAATTATTTATGCTCACTAACCTCTTGGGCCCAGATGAAAGAGTCTGATCCCATAAACACACACGTTAGTCTTTTGAAAGACTCCCCGGACTTCAGCTGTCTTTACTGATTGAATGTTGTTATCCCTTTTACATTTTTTTCTAGACATTTCCACTACCTCTACTGTATTTTGGGAACCAAATCACAGGACTGTTCAGCACAAAGAAACTGAAGTATGGCTGATTTTTCTCTCCTATTTTCCTAGCGAGATTAATATAGTGTATGTTCTTAAGATCCTATGGGAGTGGCCAACACGCCAACAGAGACTGTGGGGCAGTGGAGGGCATGGTGACAGAAGCAGGGCTGGATGGCTCTTGGGGGCACCATTGTTTAGGAAGGATTTCTCTGGTTATTCTTCCACATCCGAAGGCCATGAGGAAGGGTTGACTTGATCATAGATCATAAAGATAGAGCATTGGGACCACAGAGGCCATCTAGAGACAAACCTCCTCCTACAGATGTGGAAATTGAGGCATGGAAGAGCCCATAAAGGCCATCTAAGTCAATTCCCTCATGTTAGAGATAAGGAAACTGAGGTCCAAGGAATGCCCTAGAGCTAGAGCTGACTGGAATTTCAAAGGCTGTATATAGTCCAACCCGTTTATTTCCTGAAATCAGGAAGACTTGAGTCTTCCAACCTCAAACTCGAAGTAGCTGAGTGACCCTGAGCAAGGCACTTAACCCCTGCCTCCATTTCCTCATTTGTAAAATGGGGATAACAATAGCACCTAAGTTCCAGGGTTGTTATAAGGATCAAATGAGATAAGATTTGTAAAGCACTTAAGACAGTGCCTGGAACATAGTAGGCCCTATACAAATGCCAGATGTTTTTATTATTAATGTTGTGGAACCAATGCTCTTTCCACTGAACTGAAGGCTGTCTTGGGGAAGGAGTAGGTGTTCAAAGTACAGAGATAATGGAGTTGAGACATTTTCCATTTCATTCTTATGAAGGTTATTTAGAGCAAACATTTTACTTTGGAGTGCTTGTATCAGTGTATAAAAATAACATTTGGGGGAGAGGCTAGTGTAGGCTAACTTGGTTCTCCCCTCCCCTCCTTCGCTATGAGGATTTAAATGGCCTCATGCAAAGCCCTAATATAAATATCGAATTGCTGACTTACTCCTTACTGTCAGTCCACTGGCAAAGGCAGCTTGTTCTTGGTGAAGAGCGAGTACTCCTGTAGGCCTGCCACACTCACCTCCCTAACTCTGGCTCCTCTAACTGAAAGGGGTCTGTGTGGTTTTAAAGATTCAAATACAAGGAATCCCTCCCCAAAGAGGCCTGCGACAAAGGTTACATTTAGCTATGGCAGGTCCCTGGGCATCCTCCCCTGCCTTTGTCTTGGGCAGAAGTGACAGTGTCAGGAAATGACATGTCTCAGGGTGCTTGGAGAGGGGAGAGGGTCGGGGCGACCATGGAAGCCAGATCATTATGGTAGAAAGCTCTCTTTGTAGATTCAGACCAGGGAAGGCCCTCACAGGCAGTGGTGTCATGCTCACAGAAAAAGGATCCCTGCATGTGCCTATTGAAGTTAAAAATTTTTTAAAAATATTTTTATTTTCAGTTCTAAATTCTCTCCCTCTACTCCCTTCCCTACTCACTGAGAAAGCAAGAAATATGATGCTGTGGGAGCAAATTGATTTAGAAACCACATGTTGACATTATTTATGTTTTAATATATCTTTATTCATTTTGTTAAATATTTCCCAGTTACATTTTTAATCTGGTTTGGGCTGCACCTGGAGTATTATGGGCCCTGTGGGGCCCATATTTGACACCTTTGATCTTATCATGCTTCTGAAACTACAGAGGGAGAAACTGAGGTAAAGAGAGGTGAAGGAACTTGAGATCATAGATGTAGGGATCTCAGAGGCCATCTTGTCCATCCCTGTCATTTTAGAGATGAGGAAAAGAGGCCAAGAGGCCAGGAAGACTTCTCTTCCTGAGTTCAAGTCTGGCTTCAGATACTTCCTAGCTGTGTGAACCTGGACAAGCCACTTAACCCTGTTGGCCTCAGTTTCTTCATCTGTAAAATGAACTGGAGAAGGAAATGGCAAACCACTCTGGCATCCTTGCCAAGAAAATCCTAAATGGGATCACAAAGAGTCAGGCACCACTGAACAGCACAGCAAATAGCAGAGTCAGCATTTGAACCCAGGTCATAGATCTAGAGTCCGTACAGTCCAATCCCCTTCTTTTCTAGAAACAAAAGTGGAATTGAAGAAAGTGAAGCGACTTGGTTTTCTGAGTTTGAATCCAATATTGGTGGTGTTTCCATAGAGATAGATTGAGGACTGCCACAAAAATAGACCTGCACACAGAAATTTCTTTTGAGCACTGACTGTTTGCAAAGCATAGTCAGACAGACAAAGAGATGAAGGCCCTTATACTTTGTCCGGTTCCTTCCAGAAGCTCGCTGTCTAGGAGGGGATATGAAATCCAGCTTTCCAGGTGGGGGTGGGGGGAAGGGGCAGCTAGGTGGTGCAGTGGATAGAGCTCTGGCCTTGGAGTCAGAAGAACCTGAGTTCTAATCTGGTCTCAGACACTTGATACTTACTAGCTATGTGACCCTGGGCAAGTCACTTACCCCTGATTGCCTAAAGAGAAAAACAAACAAACAAATGAAAACCAAAAAAAAAAAATCTGAGATCCCGCTTTTCCAAACCAAAGTACATAAAGTAATGGGAGAAATGTTGGGTATTAGAGAAGTGTAAGCAGGGCTCTGGGACTCCTGAGGAGATGCTGGTTAGTCCTGACCAAGAGCAGATTCAAGAAGGTTGCATCATCATCACCATGGCCACATTTACATAGTGTTTACAGAATAATAATAATAACAGCATTTTTTTTTTGGTAAAGCACTTTCTCATTTGATACTCACAACAACCTTGAGAGGTGGCTGCTAGGATTACCCCCGTTTTACAAATGATGAAACTGAGGCTGGAAGTAACTTGCCTGGGGTTCGCACAGCTAGTAGGTATCTAAGTTGGGTTTCCAACTCAGGTCTTACTGCCTTCCAAGTCCAAAACTCTCTTCACTGTGACACCCAGCTGGAGGAGGTGGTATTTGAGTTGGGGACTGGAAGGATAAAGCTTCAGTAAATGGAAGTCAAAGGATGAACATTCTAGGCAGAGGGAATGATGTGGTCAGTCACTGAATAAACAGATAATTTAAATAATGACCAGAAGATTGGATGTCAGAAATAGAGGTGCCCAGGTTAAATTGAGGGTCCCCCCCCCACTTTCAGTACTTTTGACCAGGTGACCTTGAGTTTATTTTTCAAGTTTTAGATGAAGATTGGGGAGGGGGGTGGGGTGGGGAGTGGTACTCAGGTGGGTACATTGGAAAATGAATAGGTCACTGGGGTTGAGATCACTAACATGGAAGGAATCAGTCAGCTTAGCAGAACCAGAAGATCATTTGCCTTAAGTCATGAAAGAAAAGCATTGCATTTATTTTGCCTTGTGGCTGTTCCTTTATAGCCTGCCAATGTTTACAGTCTTGAGAAGGTTCTCCATTTTGTTTACAATGATTGCGGAAGGAGTATTACTCAAGTAAGTTACATTTCTAATCTATCTAATCTATCTTAAGACTTAAGACTTACAAATTTTATTGAAGCCGTTTGCTTTTCCAATCACAGACTTTTCCCAGCACTCACTCCAATCTGCCAATCTTGTTACAAAGAAACTCCTCCTCCCCCTTGTTACAAAGAAAAACAGTTAAAAACAACAGATACCATCCCCAGCAGACCGTGTATGCAACATTCAGCACCTGCGGTTTCTTACTTCTTAGTGATAGCAGGGAAGTGTATTTTATCACCTCTCCTCTGGAAACATTAATATCATATCAATGTAGAAGATGAGCCCATGGTGTTTAAGTTTATTGTTTTCTAGCTATTGCTGTAGTATTTGTAATGTATTAGTAGAGTATTTCCTCCTTCCCTTGCTTGGCTTATTCAGTGGTTTAGGCTTGCGTTCTCAAAGTAGAGGTCCCCTGAAGGTCCCAGAGAGATGCAAGAGGTCAAAACAATTTTCAAAATGATATCAGACATTATATGCCCATGAAAATACTCCTCCCTTTTCTAACTACATTATCTATGAGGCCAGATTTTCTTCTTTTTCAACCAAAACAACATATTGCAATAGATTGAAGGCAGAACCAGATAAGAGAATCCAGCTGTCCCCTCCTAGGTCAGACATTAAAGAGATTTGCAAAAATATGTAAAACAATGTCACTCTTCTCACTAATTTTTTTTTGCTTTGGAAAACAGTAATTTTTCATAGAATATTATATTAACATTTAATGAGTTTATTATTATTTTAAATAAATTGATACATATTTTAAAAATTATTAGGTTTAATGTATAAGGTGCTAAATATTTATAGATATATAACCAACATATACAAAAGTTTTTTGGAGTCTTCACTAATTTTTAATAGTATGAAGGTCCTGAGACCGAAAAAAGATGAGACCCTCTGGTTTAGGCATTCAGAGCCAATCCTATTGGAAGAACAATACATTTAGGATTGAAGACATTGAGAAAACAGGAGTTCCTTTCTAGAAACAATTGCTGGGTGAAGACAGGCTCATATTCTGATTTTTTATATAATTTCTATAGCCTGGCTTCTTTTCTTAAAAATGTGGTTTTGGCTTCTTCCCTCTGTCAGTGCATCTCATTTTAAGAGCATTTAATATACAGACATCTGAACTTATTCCCTTCATAAAAGGGAGGGGATAACTCAGGTGTTTGCATTACAAGAAGAATTCATTTTGCTGAAGGATTCACCCCAGAATGCTTTTAAATATCTGACCCACTCAGGAGCATCAAATAAGTGGATAAATAAATAAATAAAATAATTTAACTTATAAAAATTCAGTTGGCATACTATTTTTCTGCAACACAGTATATGCACACAAAAAAAGTATACCTTGCTGTAGCCTCCCCAAATGGAGTAAGTCCAAACAGGATTCTAGGATTTCATATTTGGAACTGGGAAGACCCATTGGGCCACTGAGTCCTCCTTTTTTAGATGATGAAGGTGAGGCCCAAAGACAATTGGGGCCACCCAGATAGTGTTAGAGCCAATATCAGCAATGAAGGTAAGCACTTAGTGTGATTTTTGTAAGTTGTCTCCCATCATGTAGAGGTGCCGTGGTGCTCTGGCAAGAAAGCTGACCTTTGAGCCGGGAGGGCCTGGACTGAGGTCCTACCTCAGAACACACAGACACACACAGACACACACAGACACACACAAAACACCTGTGTAACTCTAGACAATTCCTTCTAAGACTCTAAGTTACAAAAAAAAAAGTGTGGTCTCAGCATGGTAGGAGTTTTTTCATTGGGAATGACAAAATACAGGTCTGGACAAAAAAGGGAAAATATTTTTATGTAACCTGTGAATCATCTTCCACTGACTTGCAGCTTGATGCTGTATAAGGAATCTCACACCAAGGTTGTCAATGGCCAGGGTAATGTTTGCAGACACATAAAAACTGGGCAATTCTTAGTACCATTATCCACCATTTCTGTCACTCTGGTATCATCACTGCAGAGGTGGAAGGGCCTCATGGGCCCAACAGTCATTTTTTTAATTGGGCCTTTAAAATTTTTTTATATATGCTTTTTAAAATATATTTTTTCCTCCAATTACATACTAAAACAAAAATTTTAAACCTTTTTTTTTAAGTTTTGAATTCCAAATTCTATCCCTCCCTCCCTCCCTGAGAGGGTAAGCGATCAGATATAGGTGTGCATGTGCAAGTATATAAAACATTTTCGTATTAGTCATTTTGAAAAAGAAGACTCGAATAAAAGAAAAAAAACGTAAAACAAAGGAAGTGAAAAATAGCCTGCTTCAGTCTGTATTCAAACAATATCAGCTCTTTCTCTGGAGGCAGATAGTATGCTTCACCATTAGTCCTTTGGGGTTGTCTTGGATCATTATGTCGCTGAGAATAACTAAGTCATTCACAGTTCTTCATCAAATAATATTATCATTAGTGTGTACAACATTCTCCTGGTTCTCTTTGCTTCACTGTGCATCAGTTCATGTAAGTCTTTCCAGGTTTTTCTGAAATCATACTGCTTGTCATTTTTTATAGCATGATAATATTCCATTACATTCATATACCAGAACTTGTTCAGCCATTCCCCAACTGATGGGCATCCCCTCAATTTCCAATTCTTAGCCACCACAAAAAGAGTTGCTATAAATATTGTTGTACAAATAGGTCCTTCTTCTCCCACCCCCCCCTTTTTTTTTTTTTGCTATCTTTGGAATACAGACCTAGCAGTGATATTGCTGGATCAAAGGGTATGCACAGTTTTATAGCCCTTTGGGCACAGTTCCTGATTGTTCTCCAGAATGGTTGGATCAATTCACAACTCTACCAGCTGTGCATTAGTATCCCAGTTTTCCCACATCCACTTCAACATTTATCATTTTTCTGTTTTCTCATATTAGCCAATCTGATAGGTGTGAGGTGGTACCTCAGAGTTGTTTTCATTTGCATTTCTCTAATCTATAGTGATTTAGAGAATTTTTTCATATGCCTATAGGTAGCTTTTTTTGTCTGAAAACTGCCTGTTCATTTCCTTTGACCATTTATCAACTGGGAAACAACTTATATTTTTATAAATTCGACTCAGTTCTCTATTTATTTGAGAAATGAGGCCGTTATCAGAGATCCTTGCCCAATGGTCAGTCATGTTTCAGGCTGTCAGTAGCAATTGTTGCATATGTTAAGTGGGTCTGCTGAGGGAAGGCATGGGACTGGGGTGGGGTTGGGGAACAGGAAGGACTATTGGGTAGACATTATGACATCACAGTGAAACAGATCTGGGAAGATGCAGAGCAGAGTTTTAAACTTTTTTTTTGTCTCCTGGACCCCTTTGGCAGTCTGGTAAAGCCTCTGGACCCCTTCAAAGAATCATGTTTCTAAATACATGAAGTAGGATTACAAAGAAAGCCAATTATATTGAAATAAAGATGTAATTTTGTGTATATATCACTATACGTATGTCTATATTAAGAATAGTAACAAAATGTCTTCATAAAACAGCTTAAGTATCTTGGAAATACAACCACGACTTTTTGTTTTCTAAATTTCTAGGAAGACCTTTTCTTGGGGTATTAAAATGACCGTTTTTGCGATGATCATTGGAGCATTCGTAGCCGCTAGGTAAGGTCTTCTAGTCCTTGCACTATCAATCAGTCAATCAGGAAACATTTATTAAGTGCCTTACTGTGTGCCAGGCACTGGGCTGAGTTCTGGAGTTTAACCCATATGAAATTGTGTCTGGACGAAAGGCTTCTTGCCTTTTTTCAGAGGGAGGAGAATCCTGTTTTTGTAAAGTACAACCCACAGACTATTTTCCAGGGACTAAACCTTGTTGAATGCTTTGAGATCAAGTTCGACAAAAAATTCAGATTGACTTGGCTCAAAACTCTGAAAGCATATATAGAGACAGTGTTCTGATTTAGAATTAGAGTACCTGGATTCGAATTTCAGCTCTGCTGCCCATGTGACCATGGGCAAGTCAGTTGCACTCTCGAACCTTCAGTTTCCTCATCTGCAAAATGAGGGGGTTGGAGTCCACGACCCTTGAGGTCTCCACTCTGCTCCAAATCGGTAGTCCAGAGTGTTTTCTTCTTCTATTTCAATAAATTCGTGGTGATTCTCATAACTACACCTACTGCGTTCTGTTTATCGCCAAGGTTCACCCACTTGCCACTGGCATGGTAATTGTAGTTTATAAATATGGGAAGAAAGTGTGAATCATAGAAATGGGAACATTAAAAATGAATGACTGTGGGCCTTCCAAGAAACACGTTTGTGTGAATGCACTTATTAATGCCATAATTGATGTCCCTCTTTACATCTCCAAATCTCAGTTTCTTTCATGTACTGATAGTATTTGTAAAAAGCACTTAGCACAGTGCCTGGCATATAGCGGGTGCTGTATAAATGCTTCTTCTCTTCTTTTCCCTCCTTGCCTTCCCATGTATTACCTCCCTGAGCCTCCTTGCAGCTCAATGGTAAGGGTGAGGGTGAGTGTTACAAGTCACACGGAGTTTTTACCATGAGAGGCAGCACCCTGGACTTTGTGCTGTTCCTCACACACAGATCTCCCATCTCCAAGCCTTTGAACTGGCTGTCTCCTGTAGCTGGAATGCATCTTCACCTCTTGGAATACCTGATTTCCTTCCAGACCCATCTCAAGTGGCACCTTCCGGAGGAGGCCTTTTCAAGTGTGCCTCTTCTCACTCCTCATCCTAGTTTTTATCTGCTGAGTGTGTGTGTGTGTGTGTGTGTGTGTGTGTGTGTGTGTGTGTGTGTGTGTGACCTCCCTGGCTTACTTTAAGTCCCAGCTAGAATCCCACCTTCTATAGGAAGCCTTCCCCAACCCCTCTTAATTCCAGTGCTTTCCCTCTGCTAATTTTTTCCTATTTATCCTGTATATACCCTACTTTGTACATAGCTGTTCGCATATTATTTCTCCCCCTTTCTCCCATGAGATCATAAAGTCCTTGAGGGCAGGGGCTGTCTTTTGTCTCTTTGTATCCTCAGTGCTTAGCATACAGTTGGCATTTAATAAAGGTTTATCGATCGATCGATTGATTGATGCACATACATATTCACCTGTATACACATGTACACATATGTTGTTCCCCCATTAGAATGGAAGCTCCCAAGCCAATCTGTACACAATAAAGATCACCGATTTCTTGTAGTGGTCCCTATGCAAATGCTCACATTTGGTGCTTGTCCTATACTGAACAAAAACAGAACTTAAAAAAAGAGAGAGAATGTTAAGCTCTTTGTGGGCAGAGATTCTTTCACTTTTGTTCTTGAGCCCCCAGCACAGTGCCCGACACTTAGTGTTTGCTTCATAAATGCTATTTAATTGAATCATAATAGACTGAGGGCTGAAAATAGAGGCAGGAAGACTGGTTCTGTTTCTGCCTGAGATATTTACCATCTATGGGACCTTTGCAAATTGGTAGCTTCTCTCAGCCTCAGTCTCCTCATCTGTAAAATGGGGATGATAGTGGCACCTACTTCCCAGGGTAGTTTTCAGGATCAGGTGACAGAAGGTATGCAAGGAACTTTTGTTGTCCAGTTATTTCAGTCGTGACCAACTCTCCATGTCCCCATTTGGGGTTTTCTTGGCAAAGATACTGGAGTGGTTGGCCATTTCCTTCTCCAGCTCATTTTACAGATGAGAGAACTGAGGCAGACAGGATTAAGTGGCTTGCCCAGGGTCACACAGCCAGCAAGTGTCTGAGGCTGGATTTGAATTCAGGTCTTTCTGATTCCAGCCCAGCCACTATCCCCTGTAGCACCTAGTGCCCTAACTCTGGAATCCTACTAAGTGATTTATGAATGCCTCCTCTTCCATGATGATTCTGAGGCCCACACTCCAGGCCGGTTAAATCTGAAGCACATTTTATTGCACGGAAGGCCCTCACTGCTAAGGTGCTGTTTATGTTTTCAGCTCTGACCTGGCCTTTGACTTGGAGGGATATGTTTTCATCCTGGTGAATGACGTCCTGACAGCTGCCAATGGCGCGTACGTGAAACAGAAACTTGATTCCAAGGTTGGTAGCCCCTGACACCCCCTTTGAGAGGGGTTAACTAACACTGGACGTTGGTGTGGGGCAGTGGGCAAAACTGGGGATGGGGAGGGTGCCGCTTGGCACAGAAGTGAGTCTTCCTTGCTTCAGGTTTGGCCAAATAGACTGTAGGCCTTGAGGGCAGGGATGACTTCATCTTGTCTTTGTGTTCCCTGGTACTGAGAACAATACCTGGTATACCCTAGGTGCTTAATAAATGCTCTTTGGTGGGGTTGGATTGGATTCAGAGTAGAATAGGGGTGGCTGAGCTTGCTCCTATGATTTCATTGATATATGGAACTCCCAGATGAGAAATAATCTTTCTTTTCCCACTGCAGCTCAGCCCCTCCTCTGAAGCTGAGAGGCTTGGACAGTTAATGGGTTCAGGGAGATGTTAAGTGACTTTCCCAGGATCATATAGTCATGATATGTCAGAGACAGGGCCTGGACCCAGGCCAGCTCCTCATCCCCTCTATTCCATGTGGCCTCTCATTTAGAGCAGATGAGAGGAAATAAGGGGTTGGTGGGATCACAAGGGTTCTAGATTCCATGGGCTTGAGTATCATGGGATGTTAGACTTAAAGCCGGAAGAGCCTTAGAGATCATCATCTTCCTCCTCCTCCCCCTCCCCCTTTTCTTCCTCCCCCTCCTCTTTTTCTTTCTCCTTTTCTTCCTCCTCCTCTTCTTCCTCCTCTTCTTCTTCCTTCCTCTCCTTCCTCTTCCTTTTCTTCTTCCTCCCCCTCCTCTTCTTCCTCTTCCTCCTCCCCCTCTTCTTCCTCTTCTTCCTCCTCCTCCTCTTCTTCCTCTTCTTCTTCTTCCTCTTCCTCCTCCCCCTCCTTTTCCTCTTCCTCTTTCTCTTCTTCCTCCCCCCTCCCTCTCCTTTCCTTCCTCCTCCCCTTGCCCTCCTCCTCCCCAATAATAGTACTAGCTAACATTTATATAACACTTTAAGGTTTGCGAAATGTTTCACATATGTTATCTCATTTGATCCTTACACCAGCACTGTGAGATAGCTGCTATTATCATCCCATTTTACAGATGAGGAAAATGAGGCAGGATAAATAACTTGCTCAGGGTCACACAGCTAAAGCAAGATTGAGTCTTGAGTCTTTCTTATTCCAGGACTATACATTGCCTTGCCCAGCTACCCATCTGGTTTACTCTCCTGTTACAAATTGGCAAGTTGAGGCTAAGTGACTTGCCCAGGGAAACAAGAAGCAGAATGGGAATTTGAACCTAGGCCCTCAGGGCTCAAACCTTCTGCTCTTTCCATGCATCACACCCACTTTTCTCCTGGGAAAATGAAGTGTTTGATTGAGAGCTTGGCATGTGAAAAGAGATGTTTGGACCTTCATGGGCTCAGTGGAAACTGGGAGATGGGAGGATTATAGTTTCACAGCTGGAAGCAGCTACAGAGGTGATTTAACTCAAGTGCTCCATTTTACAGATGAGGAAACTGGGGTGAGGTAGGCCAGTGTGGGAGTGGGCACAGAAAGGAAGGAGCTTTTGGAGAAGCTAGGAGTGGAGAGACGAGCTGGCGAAAGGGAAGAGGGGCTTGGGAGGTCTTAAAGGTTAGTGGGAGGAGGAGGTCGAATAAAGGTGGCTTTGTTATCCTACTGCTGGAAGTCAAAGAAAACACTCAGTGAGCATGAAGACTGGCTTTCCTAGGGTCAGGCATCAGGTTTCCCGACCTGTGTCCCAAATAGGACTTAAGGGATGCCAGCAGTCACCAATGAAAGTATAGGCATGAAGACTTGGGGGAAGATTTTGGTTTTGATTTTATGCAGAATGAGAATGGTATGTTGGGGTAATTAGGTTGGAGACTCCTACAGGCAACGTGCTTTGACATAATTAAGGCACGTGCACGACACGTCCTTTATAGAGGCAGCTTCGCCTAATGCCTCCCTCTGTGAATTTCCTGTTTAGCCTGGCCGTAGCTTGCTTTGCATGTTGCCTCTCCCTTTAGATTGAGAGCTCCTTGAGGGCAAGGACTGCCTTTTGCCACTTTTTGCATCTTCAATGCTTAGTACACTGCCGGGCACATAGTAGGAGCTTTATAAAGTTGACTGATTGATTGAGGTGAGGAAGATCTGGATGCAAATCCTGTCCCTGACCCTTACCAGCTGTGCCCTTAGACAAGTCACTCAACCACCTGGAACCTCAGGTAGCCCTCTAAGACAAATCTACTAAGATGTAGAAGGGTTGCAGGCTGTCACTGGAGAGGGAGTTCCCTCCTCAAGGACCTATCATTGAACACTGGAAGGTCTAAGGAGTGTCGGGGTGTGGTGGATAATGTGCCGTGCTGGGGGTCAGGAAGATACGCAATATTTGCATGTGGATGGCAGGATAATAAAGGTTTTTTTTGTTTTGTTTTACTAGCTGAAAGAATAGGGAAAAGGTGAGAACTTGGGAAAGGTGACTACAAGCTGGGTTTTGATCTTTTCTGTCATCAGTGGTAGAAAAGAACTAAATGTAGACCTTTGACTTCTCAAGCAAGCATAGCTCTCTGGAATAATTGTCATAGTAGACATTAAGTTGGTGGTGCAGTGGAGGGAGCACCAGTCCTGACACTTGCTAGCTGTGTGACCCTGGGCAAGTCACTTAACCTTATTTACCTCAGTTTTCTCATCTGTAAAATGGGCTGGAGAAGGAAATGGCAAAACCACTCCAGTGTTTTTGTCAAGAAAACCCGAAATGGGGGTCACAAAGAGTAGGACATGACTGAAAAACAACTGAACAACAAATTAGTTTACAAAGTATTACACACACACACACACACACACACACACACACATACATGCATATGCATATATGCGTGGGTGCCTATATATACTGGGCGGAGGAGGGAGAGAGAATATTATATATTATGTCATTTGAGTTTTTTTAAAAGCTGAAAAAGGTGTGTCAACATCCATGCAATGATTACAATTTAATTAATAGGCTAGTCCCTCAGGCCAGTTTACTCTTATTTCAGATCAAATTCCCAGACAGGATGATTTCCTGCTTTCTGAGTCTCCAGGATGTTAGAAACAGTGAATTAGGAAGGAGTAAGGGTCAGAGTGGGTGAAGAGGATACTTGCAGGCACATTGACTCAGCAAGATTTGCTAAGCTGTCAGGGATAGCGAGACAGGCACACTATAAAATCAGACATAGAAATAGGGACCGAACCTATGATTTCTTTGATTTAGGTGATTACAAGGTGAGAAAACTCCCTCTGCCAATGCAGGTGGGCACTAGCACTGTACCATCAGTTGTGCAGATGGTGACTTATCCAGGGTCTCATAGCCTGTAGGTATCAGAGCTGGGACTTGAACCCAGGCCATTCTGGTTCTGAGGCTGGCTTCCTCTCCTTTCCCCATGCTGCCTCTCTGGATCAGGCAGAAGGACTCACACAATCCCAGCAGCTTGGGGACATTCAGTTTAGGGGCAAAGTCATTCACACTTCAGTGGGTCCTGAGGTCATCACTGTGTTGCTGCTCTGTAGAGTCATTCTTGATCAGAAAGGTGTCCCTGGGTCATTCAGAAAAAAGTTCAGGACCTTTTGTTTAAGGTCAAAATGTTGGTGCTTAAAGAAATAAACTTTTATTACCTGGAGCATTCATACATGAATCTCTAGCTCATTTTATTTGTCAGGAATCTTTTAGAACAAGGGCCTGACCTTAATGTAGGGTCAGTGGACCCCTAAGTGGGTGGCTAGATTGTGAATAGATTTCAGGGGGTCCACAAACTTGGATGGAGAAATATGACTTTTTAATTTTCATTAGCACCAGATTGACATTTAATATTTCCTTCAAATATGAATTTAAAAAATTATTCTGAGAAAGGATCCATAGGTTTCCCCAAATGGCCAAAGGAGTCCATGACAAAAAAAAAACCCCAAAATCCCCCCCAAACCCCAAAACTTTAAGAACCTCTCTTTTAGAGGGATTTTTTAGTTCAGTAGGCATTGATATCATGGTTGAAAAAATGCTAGATTAGAGGGCAGAAGACCTGGATTTCAATCCTGGCTTTGCAACTTGCTGCTTATGTAACCTTCGGCAACCTTACCCTCTCCGGGCCTCGGTTTACTTATTTGTAAAATCCAGGCCTTCACCTGGAGGAATACTGGGATCCAGACAAGTGAGGAGCTGTGGCTGGTTTGTATTTCTCAAGCAGACTGGGAACATGGCTGGTGTGAGGTCTGGGTTTCAGCTAATTGCTCTGTCTCCTCCATGCCACGCTTTCTCTGTGGAATCAGAAAATGTTAGGGCTGTAAGGATCCTTAGAGACCGTCTAAGGGTGTGGCCCCAAAGGGTCTTCTTCCCTCATTTGCTAGAGTCTCTGAGTTTGTCCATTGAGGGGATTCCTTCTACCAATGAAATCACAGGATTTGTCCACTCTCCTGAACGACCACCTCCACGGCCTTTCCCTGGACCGTGGGCTGGTGTGGCTGGTGCAGCCGTAGCCACATGTGGCTTAATGACCATTCCAGGGTGAGTAATAACACGTCTGGGCTCATGTGATGGTTCATTTGGGACGAGAAAGTAGTTGCGGTTTATGATGATAATTTTAGTTCTGGGCTAAGGGTAATGGCAGCTGGGCAGTTCATTCTAGTCAGGGACATGGCCTTAGGCTAATTAATAATCAGACTGTCTCAAATGACAGGCACCTACTATGTGCCAGGCACCATGCCAAGCCCTGGGGATGCAAAGAAGGGGAAAACCACAATCCCTGCCCTCAGGGGACCTCACTTTCCTAAAGGGGAGACAAGTACATTGTGAATATGTACAAAACAAACTGGGCAGTTTTGGGGGGGGCGGTGCTGGCATTCTGAGTGGGGTGGAACATCTTTTCTTTCACAGAAATTTCCTTTCTGCTTGGAGATTTCATGGGCACAGCTCAGCTGCCATCTCCTTTTGGGACACCTTTTCTGGTCCCTCCAGGTGTTAGTATATGCTGTCTCCTGAAATTACTTGGTATAACTCAGTTGCATCCCCAGAAGCCCAGCTGAGAGAGTTTGGGCGAAGTCTTTCCATTTAATTGAATGAGTATTCCTTAAGAGCCGCGTGCGTGCATGCGTGTGTGTGTGTGTGTGTGTGCGCGTATAAATTGAATAAAAAGAGAAAAATATAGGAAGACATTACAGAGAAGTCTTTTCACGTACTCTGCAAAATGTCCCTCTGGAAAGGCGCCAACCAGCCTTAGGTGGATTGAATCAATCAGCTAATCCGTAAGCATTTATTAAGCACCTGCTGCATGTCAGGCACTGTACACTAGGGACCCAAAGAAAGCCATTAGCTCTTCATAGAAAGGGAAGGGCAGGGATGTGTTCTAGATGTGCTCTCTTCCTAGCTTGTTTTAGGAAGGAAGACCCCTTGAGGCTCTAGAGAGGTTTCTCCAGCCTTAAGCCCAGCAGCTGCATGGAACACCCCTCACTTTCAGACCACCCTTCAGCTGTCACCTCCTGCATGAGGTGACCACTGACCACTCAGCTGCTGGTGTATTCATGCTGTCTTTCTCCTTTCCCCTGTCCCCTCTCTCCCCTTCTGTCTTTCTGCAGTTCTCTCTGTCCCTCTCTCTTCTCTCTCCTCCTCCCCATTCTCTTTTCTCTGCCCCCCCAATTATTTTGTCTGTTTTTACTTGGCAATGTGTGTAAGTTCTCTGAGGGCAGGGACTGTTTTCATTTTGTCTTTTGTGTCCCCAGTACCTAACAGAGTATCCTGCATGGTTTTATTATGTGAGGGCAGGGAAGAGTCACTATTTCGTGTGTGTGAATGATTCCAGATCTGTAAAGGCCCTTTGCTAAGGAATATCAGCTACTCATTTGTGATACACTTTTAGAGAGATACTTGAGGGCACTGAGAGGTTAAGGAGCTTGTCAAGACTTGAGTTCAGGTCTTCATGACACTAGTGCTGAGTCTGTTATACGTTATACCAGCTGTTTCACCTTGCACATTTTTCAGTCATTTTCAGTCATGTCTGACTTTTTGTGACCCCATTTTTGGCTTTCTTATCAGAGATACTGGAGTGGTTGGCCATTTCCTCCTCTAGCTCATTTTGCAGATGAGGAAACTGAGGCAGGCAGGATTACACTCATCCAGGATCACACAGCTAGGAAGTATCTGAGGCCAGATTTGAATTCAGGAAGATGAGTCTTCCTGACTCCAGCCCAGCGCTCTGTGCACTGTTTCACCTGGCTGCCTTCATTTTGCACACAGTAGGCACCTACTAAGTATTTAGAATTGGATTTATATGAGTTTTAAGCTTTGTCCTAAAAATCTAGAGATTTGACTTCTCTCTCCACCCCTTCCCCCACTGTATTATATTTCTATCTGTAAAGACAATGTGGGTTATTGCTGTCTCTTTGGGGGCTTTCCTTGTGGCACATCTGCAGAGTGAGTGTGTGTGTATCTGTGTGTGTGTGTCTGTGTGTATGCATGTGTGTGTATATGTATGTATGTGTGTGTGCATGTGTATGTGTGTATGTGTGTCTCTGTGTATGCATGTGTATGTGTATATGCATGTGTGTGCCTGTGTGTGTCTCTCTGTATATGTGTGTATGTGTATATGCATGCATGTATATGTGTGCATGTGTATGTATGTGTATATGTGTGCCTCTGTGCATGCATGTGTATATGCATATGTGTGTGCATGTATAACGCACGTGTGTACATGTATATGCGTATGCATGTCTGTATATGTGTGTCTCTGTATATGTGTGTGTACACATATGTGTGTATGTATGTGTATTGTGTACATGTGCTTGTGTGTGCAGATGTGTATGCGTGTGTGTATGCATGTGTGTGTTGTATGCATGTGTATATGTGTGTCTGTGTGTATGCATGTGCATGTGTGGGTATGTGTATGTGCATGTGTGTATATGTGTGTGCATGTGTATATGCATGTATGTGTATGTGTGTATGCATGTGTGTGTGTGTGTATGTATGTGTGTGTGTGTGTAAAAAAGACATAGATAGGAAGAGGGAGAGAGTGGTTGTGGGAGGGATGGACCTGGCTTTGGGGGTGCTCTGGGTGCAGTCCTGGGCTCTTGCTCGGTGGGGCCAAGCTCAACGCCATCCGTTTCCTTTCCTAGGAGCTGGGGAAGTATGGCCTGCTCTACTACAATGCACTGTTCATGATCCTTCCCACCGTGGCCATCGCCTACTTCACGGGAGATGCACAGAAGGTAGGCCCTCTCTCGTAAATCTTGGCCGCCCGCCCACTTTCGGCTCACAGAGGGTTTTTTCCACAGGTCCAAAAGAGAGGCTTGTATGCTGGTAGGGAGGAATGTGCTCATCAGGTGACCAGAGTGGAGAGTTTCCTTCCCAGCCCTCCTTCCCTGTGCCTCGGTGGGGGACGGTGCCAAAAAGTCTCAGAATAGCTGTTGCTAGAAACATAAATAGTCCTGTCAGCCAGGACACTTTGGGGAGAAGGAGGAGGAGAGGGAGAGTTTTCTGGAGGCAGAATTTTCTGGGGAGAAGCACTGAATAACTGTAGAAGGACGCTGTCCTTGAAACATTCCCGCTGAACTTTTCTGTGCCTCAGTTTCCTCTTCTGTAAAATGAGGGAGTTGGACTGACTGGTTTCTGGGGACCCTTTTGCTTCTCGATCTGTGATCTAGAAGTTGTGAGATCAGTTAAACCCCAGCAGAGCCCTGAAGCTTTCTGCTCTGATTGCTTTTCTGTTTTGGCTGCTGGCCCAAGATGCATGGTTTATGGAGACTGAGCCCCAGTCGGCGTCCTGACGACATAACCAGAAGATAGCTGTTGTCACCAGTGGTTTACTTTTAGTGTCTAATAATCCTCGTTCCGTTTCTACAGATGTTTGGCTGGCTTTCTGCCAGTGCCTTTACAGCAAGCCTGCACGCAGACAGGAAAGATGTCCCCATGCTGGGAAAGTTCCTGGGGTATCACAGATGAGATGGAAACTGAGGCGTTGTTTTGCCAGTGATTTTTGTTTCGTTGATATGGCTTGCTTTTTACACTAAGGTCATTTCTTGATATGTCCCCCTTCCTTTCCCTACCTCACAATGGAATCTTCGTTCTTTTTTTTGAAAGTTAAGCAAAACTAGCAAATGCTCTGATGGTCTGTATATTTTCTGGTCTATGTGCTATTCTGCATCCATGGTCTTCCGTCTTTCTACTGAGAGACAGAACTCTATTTCATTGTCTGCTCTAGGACCAAGGTTATTGGTTCCTCTGGAGCTATAAATTTCAAGCTGGAAGGGACCTTAGAGGTCACCTGGGCCAGAAAAGGAAACAGTCCCAGCCAGAGAGAACCTGCCCGAGCTTACCCAGGTCCTAAGTGGCCAAGGCGGGCTGAGAACCAGTTCTACTTCATTGCCACTGTACCAGGCGGCCTCTTCATTCATCATTCATAAATTAGAATTGTTTAATTTATAGAACTGTAATCTGCTGATTTTCTCTTCCTCCTCCCCTTCTTTCTCCTTCTGTCCTCCTCTTCTTTCTCTTTCTTCTCCCTTTCCCTCTTTCTCCTCTTTTTCTTCCTTCTCCCCCTTTCTCCTCTTCCTCCTTCTCTCCTCCCCTCTTCTCCTCTTCTTCCTTCTCCCATTCCCCCTTTCTTCTCCTTTTCCTCCCTTTCTCCTATTCCTTCTTCTCCCCCTCCCCCTCCTTCTCCTCTTCCTCCCTCACCCCTCCCCCTCTTTCTCCTTCTGTCCTCCTCTTCTTTCTCTTTCTTCTCCCCCTCCCTCTTTCTCCTCTTTTTCTTCCTTCTCCGCCTCATTCTCCTCTTCCTCCTCTCCTCCCCCTCTTCTCTTCTTCCTCCTTTTCCCCCTTTCTCCTTTTCCTCCTCCCATCCCCACATTCTCCTCCTTTTCCTCCCTTTCTCGTATTCCTTCTTCTCCCCCTCCCCTTTCTTCTCCTCTTCCCCCTTCTCCCCCTCTTTCTTTTCTTCCTCCTTCATTCCTTCCTTCTTCCCCTCCCACCTCCCTCCCTTCCCACACCCTCTCACTGTTGCTGTCTCCAGGGGTGGTTAAGAGTCCTTATGGCTTGGTAGATGTAGAAATGCTAAAATATTTGTTGAAGCAAATAAACAAACCACATTCTCAGCATCTACTATGTGCTATGTTCAAAAAAATTGCTCTTTAGACCAGTGGGAGTTGCTCCCAAGCCTGGATGTCTCATATATGGAGGTTTATGGAACCACTTTTCTTTTGTCTTTTTTAAAAGATCTATCACAAAATATTCTGAAGACTTTCTTAAATTTGACAACTGGGGCAGCTAGGATAGAGTACCAGCCCTGGAGTCAGGAGGACCTGAGTTCAAATCCAGCCTCAGACACTTGACACTTATTAGCTGTGTGATCCTGGGCAAGTCACTTAATCCCATTGCCTAGCCTCCCCCCAAAAATTGACAACCAACTGTCAACCAGTCAATGAACAAGCATTTGTTAAAATCACTGACTGAGTGGTGGGTACAGGACAAAGGTGCCCTCAGGGAGCGTGTCTGGGAGATGAGAAGTACATCTGTAGGTATAGAGAAATACAAATGCAGGCGATTTGGGCGAGGCTGGAGACAGATCTGGGAGGTCTTCTTGCAGGGGGTGGTATTTAAACAAATTCTCCTTTTGGCGAAGCATCTGAGGACAAAGAAGCAGAAAAATGATTATTGTTGCAGGTTGTGCCCTGGTTATCCGAGATGAACGGCCAGGGAGGAGTGGAGCCCCTGAATTTAGGCACTTTGGCCGAGGAAGCAGAGACTGTGCTTCTTGGACATGGAGTCTGAAGGGTGGGCATGCACTTAGAATGGCTGAGGAGACCGGAAGAGCAACTCACAGTTCTGGCTGTTTTCTTTCGATTCCTGCCCTCTCTTCTCTCAGAAGGCCATTCCATAGAGCAAAGAATACTTGGGGCTCACATTTATATGGTACTCTAAGGTTTCAAAGGCACTTTACATACATCATATCATTTGATGCTCACAGTACCCCCGTAAGGGAGGGGCTATTATTATGCCCATTTTATAGATGTGGAAACTGAGGTTCAGAGAGTGTGAATGAGTTGCCCAGAGTCATAGTATCTTGAAAGTGACCTATTGCGAGAGGAGCTTGGAGAGGCAAATATTGAGGGCCATGAAAGTCTGGGATTTGCCTGTAGGAGCTGAAAAAGCCTCTCCAGCTGGCATTCCTCAGATCTATGGGGTTAAAAGACAACAGGGTGAAAAATTAGAAGTCTTCTTTTTACGTGGAAGTGAGATGGCAGATGTAAAGGTACTTTGTAGTCAATCTGACAACAAGCATTATTAAGCACCTATTATATATGAGGGGGAAGACGACATGCAGACAGCAGTGTGCAAATATAGACAGGTTTGTTGGAGATAACCTCAGAGGGAAGGCGCTGAGATGCAGAAGAACTGGGAAAGTCTTCGTGGGGACGGGAAGGGAGGCAGGAGGTGGAGATGAGGAGGGGCAGCGTGCCAGACGTGGGACCAGCCAGGGAACATGCCCGGAGCTGAGGGTTGGAGTGTTGGCTGAGGAATAGCTAGGAAGCAGGGTCACTGGATTGAAGGTGTGAGCAGACTTCATGTAAGGCGGAGTGAGCGTGGCGGGGAGCACACAGGTTGTGGAGGACTTTGAAAGCCAAACAGGGTTGTGGTTTTTTTTTTATCCCAGCAGTAATAGAGAACCACTGGAGTTTATTGAATAGGTGGTGACAAAGTCGGACGTACATTTTAGGAAGGTCAGGTTGACCACTGTGTCATATTGGAGCCAGACGATAGATTGGAGACCCACCCCACCCCAGCAGCTATCACATTAGCTCAGGTGGAAGGTGATTAGCGCCTGCACTGGGGGTGGCAGGGTCAGAGGAGACAAGAGAGCGGGTAGGAGAGATGTTATGGAGGCAGAACCAACAGGAGCTGACAGCTGATTGGAAATGGGGGATGAGAGGGAGGAGTCCAGGATGATCCCTGGGCTGGGAGCTTGGGTGACTGGGAGGATGGGGGTGCCCTCCACAATAAGGGAGACATCAGGAAGAGGCGAATGGTTTGGGGGGGAAGGAGAAAGAGCTGGGTTTTGGATGTATCAATTTAAGATGTCTGTGGGACGTCTGGTTGTAGACGTCTAAGAGGCAGTTGGAGTCTCCAGAGTGGAGTCTTAGGGCCGAACAAGGAGATCGGAGAGTCAGCTGCAGAAATGCCAGCTCCCTAAATGGTTTGGGTTTAAGCATCCACTCTGGTCTTTCCTTGGAAGCCCAGCCTAAGGGCAGCCCCTTGGAATTACTTGGCGCCTCCTTTATGGGTGTTGTTTATTTACTTGTCTTAGTAATTGTTGTTCCCTCCAAAGGCACTTAAACTCCCGAGGGGCAGAAATCACTGTCTGTGTCTTGGTGTCTCCAGAGCTTAGCTCAGTGCCTGGCACGTAGTAGGCACTTCATAAATACTTACTGCTTGATTGATTTCACCTGTTTTTTGCATTTAACGCTAGAGAATCACAACTGAAATGCTTTTGTCTGCTAGTAAAATCTCCCAAATTATAGTGCATTAATTTTTTTTTTAAAGAGCTAACATACAAAAATTAAAAAATAAGGCGAGGGGGAGGTGTGGGGGGGAGGGAGGAGGAGGCTAGCCTCTTATCTGGAGAGCACATAGCTGTCAGAAGTGAGAAAAAGGTCACAGACCTCAGTGAGCACTGTGGCAGTCAGTGTTTGAAGCTTTTTTTTCCTTGAATTTCTGGGGTGAAGCTGCAAAGTTCTCTTCTGTGCCTCTGGCATTTTTGCCCCGCAGTTAAGATTTGTCCCTGCCAGTTATTTTGTGGGCGTGTAGTGGACTTTGAGCCCTGGGGCTGGACCAGCAATTAAACTGGGAGAATTGGAGAGAAAAATAAGTGAATTTCATGGAGGTGAGAATGTTAGTTTCATCATCCCTGTCTTCTTGAGCCCTCAGTTAAAATTAGGATTGTGACCTACCATGTGTACATAATAGTAATAATAATAATAATAACAGTAATAATGCTAATTGGGAGTCAGTATGGCATAGGGTGCTGTAGTTAGAGGCAAAGCCCCTGAATTCTAACCTAAGAGGCTTCATCATTTATTTATCTGTATGACCTTGGAGAAGTCACATAACTTTTCTGCCTCTTGCCTCATCTGCAAAATAGGAGAGTGGAACTTGAAGACCTTCCAGGTTCCTTCCAATTCTAAAACTATGATCTGTTGGGTCCTAAAAAAAATCA